TGGCAAAGCCAGGCAAGTTGTCAAAGTTTCAGTCATTTTAGTGGACATTTTTGAAATTGGATCTGTTATTGACCCCATTACCATAAATGTGTACATTTGTACTGTTCTCATGGCTCCCATGCTGTTATTGAGTTTATAGATTTTAGAGGATAGACAATTTGATTTCATCTTACAGTAAAGGTTTGATTTTATCATGAAAATTGTGTACGGTCTGAAAGCTGTTTCCAGCCTGTCTGTCAATGAGTAATTCTTCTAGCTTTTAACATCCTTGACGATTTAATATAACTAATAGACACATGGCAGCCATCTTGATATTGTGCTTACTGACTGTAGAAGTAAAAAAAAGATTTTCTGTATTATTGTAGATTTCATGTGAATTTGTTTAAGATAATGTGTTTGGCCAAAAAGCTGCTTCTAAATGATACCATCTTTAATAGTTAACTCTTTCAGATATTTTTCTCATACTTCTAAAATGATTAGATTCTACCCACAGTTAAAATGACTCTGAAGATCTTCACTAACATTAATTCTTTACTATTAAAATTATGCATTCATGTTTAATAGTAATATTAGTTATTTCCATAAATGGAAACATTCAGTATTCATCAACAGTCAGTGTTAATTTTGTTTGAAATTTATAAAATCTTTTTATTAAAACAATTTTGGGAAGAAATAAATTACTCAAATTCACTAAGCGTTATGGCTCTTGCCATTTCTGATGGCTTTCTTCCTTACCTTTTGTTCAAAGTAGTATGGCATATTATTGTCTTGATTATGTGATTATTTTCTCTTTGTATTACATGTGCTATCCATTTTAGTTGTTGCTGCTATTGAAAATCCTCAAAAGATGTGGAGTCCTGTGTATGACAGTAAACTACATCTGGAATCAAGGCCTACATTTAAAATGTTTTGAGGGGCATGTAACCACCTCTAAATTGTTGTTGTTGTATGGTCTGCCCTGACCTGGGGTGATAGCACGTGCAAACTGTTTTCAAAATACTATGAAAGTATAAAAATAGATTCTTATAGTAAACATACCAGCAACAGATTTTTGAAAAAAAAATACCAGCAATACCACATCCTTTGAATGGTTTGGTTTATTTTGTATAATGGCATTTCAATATCTCAATGGCTAATTTAATGCCAACAAGATTTTTAGGATAGGTTCATTTGAATAGAATATATATTCTTTGTAAGAAATCAGTTTGTAGATCAGGTTTCTTTGAAAGAGAGGGTTTTTGTTGAGAATCATTTTGTCAGGAATCATTCGGCATTAATAACCCACTGAGGTTGACATGACATAAAACAAAATAAACCAAACCAATCAAAGGATGTGGTTTCTGTTATTTCATTGAGTTCTTTTTTTAGTGATTCTGTTGCATGAGTTTCAAAAAGGATGGTTCTCTCTATGACCAACAAGCTTCATTCACTGGAAATCATTTTTTATCATAGATCTGAGAAAGCAGTTGTATACAGCTGACAGTTTAGATATTTCTGAATGTTTTGGATTTTACATCTATATGAAAATCTTGAGGATATTTATGACAATTTTCTTAGGTTAAATTTTTGCCTTGCTTGTAATTTTGTACACCAAACTAACCCTAGTGTAACATATCCAATGTTCAATTCCTTTATCTCCTAAACTAAATTTATCATAACTGGTCCATATACCAAGATATTTGAAGTGTTTAGTATTTACTAATTCCAAATCTTGAATTTTTATTATAGATTTAGTGTATGTGCGATCACTGCTTTCATTCCATTTCCTACTTCTTCGGATTCTTGGTAGAGGATTTTTATTCCAACAGTATATCCTTCTTCATCAGTTCTCTGACCTCAGCAAGGAAAATAAACAAGTACTTTTTTGTTAGTAGATTTATTTAAGAGGCTTAAATGATCAGTGTCCATCTCTTCATATCTGTGCTTGTATGTGCAAAAGTATTAAATAGATTAAAACCCTCATTTGATCCTTGTCCTATTCCTGATAAGGCTTGAACCACAATAAATTTAAGCAAAGAAAGGATAAAGTCTTGAAAGTGACTAGTTTATATCTGTTATCTTCATATAATAAAGGAACTATTTTATATCGGAATTCGGATTGGTTGTTATATTCAAAATGTTCAATAGAAAAAAGCTACTCAATAATTCCACCTCCTAAATACAGACAACAGTATTAAGACTCCAAAATTACAACAATGAATTGTCTAAGAAATGTATAGATTAGTGGATTAAAGCATTGTTTAAAATATTTCTAGTTTTCTGCTAATTATGAATTTAATCCCTTGGTTGGGTAGTTCAGAAAAGCCATACCTTCTATTTCAGGGGAAGAAATAGATAAGAAAAAATGCAAATTAGTCTGCAAGGACAGTTTGGTTGCTGTTTCATGCCAGAAGGTTTTTCTCATCAGAGTCCATCTTGCACATTTACAAATCTACCATTCATTTGTGCATTGAATATTGTTGCCATATCTGGTTTGGTGATTCTGCTATTCATCTTGAGGTTCTTGACAAAATTCAAAGAAGCTGCAATGCAATCAAACCTGACTCAGTATCTTGATTTCAGTCACTTTTTCACCAACGTGATGTGACTTCCCTCTGTCTTTTCTGCAAATATTTTCAAGGTAACTCTCTGACGAGTTTTTACCCTGGTGCCCCAACTACATGAATTTAAGCATGCTACTAGATTGGCATATAGGTCCCACCCTCTTACTGTTGAAATAGTTAAATGCAACTACCACCTCTACTGCAACAGTTTCATTTCTTGCAGTCTTCAAAACTAAAATCTTAAAAATTTTAAAGCAACAACAATCACCATCTTCTATCTTCTTGAATCCCATTCATCTTTTATCCTTTCCTCAATCTCCTCAGTCTTTTCTCTCATTTTCATTCTCTGTAACCCACTGCATAGTAATGGCATTCCACTTTACTTGGGGTGAAATGATTAAAAAGATAAGCAGAATATAAATATAGTAACCTAATTGTATTATGTATGTGCTTGTCAAAACAATTATATCAATATTCTCAGGAATAAATTGTTCTCATTCTGCCTTAATTTATAAGAGTTAAGTACTCCTTTTGTCATGCTTTATCACATGCCAACTTTTCAAAAGTCAGCCTGTAATAAAGATTAAACCAAAAATGGATTATTGCTGCCATATCTGAGCTGGAGCTGCCACAGATGCAATATTGTAAGCTTATTGCTAAACTATCACTCTTTCCATAGCAAATATTCAGATAAGCTCCATTCTTTATTTCCACCAGTTTAAAGTTTTACAGCTAGAACATGCCAAAGAGTCAAATTACCCTACTTTCCCCCATATTCCACATATATGAATAAAGTTCCACTCAGCTTTGTTACAAAGATCTTCTACTTTATAGAATAGACTTCCAGGTTGGTGCTTTCCTGAGCACTACAATCTTAATCTCTTCAAGTTAAGAATCAATCATTGTTTTATCTTCTTCATCCTCCTCATAATATTCACTTCTTACTGCATCATATTTTATTCATATCACACACTTAATTCATCATTTCCATTTTAATAGTAACCCTTTAGCTTGAGTGGTTTCCAAGAGGTAAATTTTAGTTTAAAAAATAATAATTTTAATAGGACTGCATTGTCAATTATTTTACTATAGAAATATATTGTAAATTAGAAAGAAGGCATGATAAGTAGTCAGGAATAAAAGCAATAAAAAGAATAGGGATATTATTGTATCTCTTTGGTCTTTTGAACAAGAGTAGAGATTTGTCCCTTTTTTCCTGTTTAGGATTAGGTTTCTGGTTCCTTTTAAGGCCTACTTCAGCTCTATAAATTTGATGTCTCTGGTAAAAAATTTGAACTTTTATTTATTATTCATTTACTTTCTTTTCCCCTCAATAGGAGTAAATAGGTGTGGAATATTGATGCTGTGTCCCCTGGTCACATATTTTCAGCTGTTTCAAGCAGATGAACAATTTTATGCAGAGAAGATCATATGTGACGATGGATCTAATCACTAGATAGGTTGTTCAAGAGGGCACTGGCTTTGTAACATGTTAGGTGCATTCTGTTGAAGTTATCAAGGAAGTCGTATTGGTTTGATAAGGTCAAATTAGGAGCAGATCTAAAAATGACCTACAATCTGTTGTTAATTGGGGCAAGAAATGGCTTGTTAATTTTAACACCTCCAAAACAAAAATGCTCTCTTGTAATCATCTGAGAAAAACATTTTTGGCTTCCATCAGCATGTCTCATGCTAACCGCCAGGAAAGTGACTCCTTAATGTTTCCATCTGATATTAAATGGAAAGATCATATTGAATCAATTGCTCGGTCTGCTGCTAGGAAATTTGGTTCACTGTGACAGTTTTTCTTGCCAGATTTATGACAGACATTTATAAGTCTATCATAGATCCATGCTTTGAAAATTGCTGTCACATCTGCAATGTTATTGGTCCTGACTTGGCATCTCAGTTTCAGTCACTTTTGAATCACTGTAACATAGCTACTCTGACCTTTTCTATAAATATTTTCCTAGTAATTTTTCTGATGAGCTTTTCTCTTTGAAACCTAGATTTTATGAATTTAAGCATACTTAGAGATTAGTGGCAAGGTCCTATCATCTGACAGTTGAAATGCCTAAATGTAACCATAAGTTCTATGTTAACAGTTTCTTCTTTTGCCTGTCTTGGTTGTAGAACCATATTCTGGTTTCTTTTTTCTTACTTAACTTTGAACTTCCAAAATCTAAATGTAATGTCTTCTTAATTCCAATTATTTTATACATTAATTCTTCTTCATTAATAATGTTTTCTTTTTTTCATATTCCCGCACACTCAGTAATCTCTTGCATCTTACTAGCTTTATTACCTTACCTGTGGTGAAATAATTAAATAAAATCTAAAATAAAATCACTCATGAAACAGAAGTCTGCACTGGCAGATATGACCTTCTCAGGTTTTGTTGCAGGTCATTTGCATTTCTAACGATTTGTTCTGCAAGACCACAACCACTAGTTGTTCATGAGTGAACAGCAGAAACACTCAGCTGAGAACCTTGGGCTTACTGTTATCCCTATATTTCAACTCCATTAAATATATAGGGAAAATGTAGTATACCACTCTAAATTACCTGCAGCAACACTTAAAACACAACTCAAATATGGAGAGCACTTGAACATACCTGGCTAGGTATACCTATACAATGATATCAGCATCTTGTTGACCCTATATCATGCAGCTACCACTATTCATGCAATTAGGAAACTGTCATTAATTTTTGACAATTCATCTTATAAATTTTCTCTTCATTTTTTAAACTCTCTTTCCCTCTTTTTTTTCCTTTTCCTCTCTTTCCCTCTTTTTTCCTTTCCCTCTTTTTTTTCCTTTTCCTCTCTTTCCCTCTTTTTTCCTTTTCCTCTCTTTCCCTCTGTTTTCCTTTTCCTCTCTTTCCCTCTTTTTTCCTTTTCCTCTCTTTTTTCCTTTTCTTCTCTTTCCCTCTTTTTTACTTTTCGTCCCTTTCCCTCTTTTTTCCTTTTCCTCTCTTTCCCTTTTTTTCCTTTTCTCTCTTTCCCTCTTTTTTTTCCTTTTCCTCTCTTTTCCTTTTTTCCTTTTTCCTCTCTTTTTCCTTTTCCTCTCTTTTCCTCTTTTTTACTTTTCCTTTCCTTTCCCTCTTTTTTCCTTTTCCTCTCTTTCCCTCTTTTTCCTTTTCCTCTCTTTTTTCCTTTTCCTCTCTTTCCCTCTTTTTTCCTTTTCGTCCCTTTCCCTCTTTTTTACTTTTCGTCCCTTTCCCTCTTTTTTCCTTTTCCTCTCTTTCCCTCTTTTTTTTCCTTTTCCTTTAGATTTCTGCTTGTTTCTTTTTCTTGTTTCCTTTTATTGTCAATTTCATGTTTCCTGCTTTCGTTTTCATTTCACTACTTTTTTGTTTCTTGTATTGCTTTTGATCCAACCTTCCCTTAATTTCCATCCACTTTTTTGTCCAGTTTTATTTTAATTTATATCTTTCACTTTCTGTACTCAATTTTGTTTTTCTTCTTTATACTCCTTACTGTTACAGGAACTTACCTATAACGATAATGGACTCTTCCTAACACTATAAATACTGCACCTATCAAGAGGTATAATGAATGAATGGTGTAACGAGTCGAGACAATATTAGTTCACTCTAAACCAGATGGGCAGTCATTACTAACAACTTCAACTTCTTGTACTATATTTCTGTTGTAATATATCTTTGTTATTCTACTCTTGTGTTCGTGTTTTTCTTCCTTGGTTCTAACCTTGGACCATATCTGTGGTGCGAGGATATTGGACCATAACACTTACTTTACAATCTCTTTCATGATCTGTTTTTTTTCTGTTTTTGGGATCATATACATAGATGCCTTTATCAGAAGCTTGGATAGGAGGAGTCATTAGCATTCAAGTGAATTAATCATTTAGGTCTTAAAGAAGATAATTCCTTATGACGCCATATAAACTGGCACAAGAAAATCACAAAGAGCTTTACCAAATAACCAAAACTATATCACTTGATGTCTTCTAACTTTAACAATGACAAAAATAAATAGCACATGTAATTAAATAAAATAAATAATGGGAAATAATGGTATAATCAAGATATTTACTTTCCACACTACCTTATACAAAGGTGTGGAAAGAAACTCCCAATTAGTGGAACTGAGAAATCTAATTTCTTGAAAATCTGTTTTAATAAAAGATTTTATAAATTGAACCTGATTGCTATATTGTTTGGTCAATGAATACCAAATGTTTCCATACAGGAAACAGCTATTTTAATTTTTACCATTATCATGGTAATGCCTTGTAAATGATTTTAGTATAAGAATGCATTAGAAATGATTTTAATATAAGATTGCATTTTAAATGATTTTACGACAGGAATTGAAAGAGCAGCTGTTTTTGGAAGTTGTTTTTTGCTAATTGTTGTTGCTAATTATTGCAGCCTTGTTTTGAGAGTGAAGACATTTACTGCGAATTATCTTTAGAGTAAAGGGAAAGTTTGTGCTTATTTGAGTGATTGCATATGTATTTATCAATTTGAAAATATACTTTTGTATATTTTGTATCTTTTCAAAGTCCTGACAGTGCTATAACAATTAGCAGTTGGCCAATTTCCTGAAAAACCATTTCTGTAAATTTCAACTGACAGTAACATTAACTGCTCCGTCAATAAATGTCAAATGTTTCCTGTATGGATGTTTCCTCATCATCACAATTTAAGATTCAATGAAATTTCAACTAGCCTCATCTCTGTTATATTTCACTGCAATTAGATCTCTTTCTGAATCATTCAAGAAGGCAGAACGCAAAATAAAAATGTTGTTTTCTGCACATAGGCTCCAAGCATCATGTCTGGTGCATGAAGCAAATCCCCACAAAAAAATAATACCAATGATGAATATTCTCGCCAGATAAGGAGATGTCCCTGGAGATTGGCAGATCTGCTTAAAAACTGGCCTCCCATAATGATCAACAGCATTCGCCGTCCATAATGCCACCTGCTGACATGCAGTTACCACTCCCTGACTTCACAAATGTCACCTGGATTTTCACATATAGAAACCAACAAAGTCTAGCTTTGACACCACCAGGTTCCCAACACCAACCACTATGATCTATAACATCAAACATGCAGATGAAAATCCAGCTTCAACACTGCCAGGCTCCCAATGCTAAACCACTGCAATTTATAACACCTGAACATCATCACTATTCAGTTACAAGCCTTAATCATCACTACTGCTGTCACCTCAACCATCCAACTCACTACAAGCATACCCTCAACAGTGAAACATTCTACTACAGGCCTACCAGCTACACCTAATTCCCCATCACCACCATCATCACCTTGGCAACCTGACTCACTACAGTCATACACTTGCAGTCATCACCACGACCCCATTTCGTTGATCCACAACAGGGAAACATTCCATCACAGGCCTACCAGCTGCTCCTAATTCCTCATCCCCACCACCATCATCTTGGCAAACTGACTCAACTATAGGCATAGCCACACAGTAAAATATTCCACCACAGGTCTACCAACTTCACCAATCCCTCATCACCACCACTGTCACCTCAGCAACCAATTACCACAAATCAACCCATCACCATGACCTCAATCAATGAACATGTGCATCAAATCCAACCAATGATGAAATCCCCACAGGACCCATCCTGATTCTTCAGTCAAACCAACCCAAGAAATCGGTCAACTTCTGGTGCTACCCCTACCTTCCTGACAATCAGCAACCGAAATTGACATTTTCTTCAATTTTCCAACAACTGTAATATATCTTGTATATTATGCAAATACACATTGTTCAAAAACCTAATCCTTGTTATTCTTTTCCTCTTGCAACCAAACACTTATTATAACATCTCCAATATTTCATTCTGTAGCTTTTGTTCGGTTGAATTTTTAGTCTGATATCAAGTCTATTGTTGATTCACACTGTGTAGAACTATATCTTCTATGACCAATGATATTCTAAAATACAATACAGCTAACATACCAACACCATTAAATGTCAGTTAAAATTCTACTTGAAGAATACTAAGTGCATTTTCTTTTATTTGCTGAATCTCATTTCTCCCAAATTCTTCACTTTCTTTTTCAACACTTTCCTTTTTTTAAAAAAGAAACTTTCTTTTTCCTCATTCTTCATTATGTCAGTTTCATTCCTCATGTCTCTCTCTCTTTCTTTCTAACTCTCTCTCTTTCCCACTCTCTGTTTCCACCTTTACATAATTTATATTTGAATTCCTCTCCCCATCTCCGTTGCTGTTCAGCCATTGTGTCCTCTGGCCTTCCTTAGGTTTATATCAAACTACAGAGAATTCTAAACTGAACCCTTTATTTAATATGTTTGGGTCAATTGTTCTCATTCTACTGCCCATGGTTAGGGGAATGAAAATAGTCTACCCCCATAGATTAAATAAAGGTTTCAGTTCAGAATTCCCTGTAGATTGATTTACACCTAATGAAGGCATCCTGGGTATGACAATAAACTACATCTGCATCCTGGGTATGACAATAAACTACATCTGCATCCTGGGTATAACGATAAACTACATCTGCATCCTGGGTATGACAATAAATTACATCTGCGTCCTGGGTATGACGATAAACTACATCCGCATCCTGGGTATGATGATAAAATATATCTGCGTCCTGGGTATGACAATAAACTACATCTGCATCCTGGGTATGATGATAAACTACATCCGTATCCTGGGTATGATGATAAACTACATCCGTGTCCTGGGTATGATGATAGACTACGTCTGCATCCTGGGTATAACGATAAACTACATCCACATCCTGGGTATGACGATAAACTACATCTGCATCCTGGGTATGACAATAAACTACATCTGCGTCCTGGGTATGATGATTAACTAGATCCGTGTCCTGGGGAAGATGATAAACTACATCCAACAGCAAGACCTCTGATAATGTTTTTGAAAAAATAATGTTGCCAGCTGTACGTTTTTGGAAAAAATAATATTACCAGCCATACATTTTTGAGGAAAAAAATATTAACAAAAATAAATTTTTGACAAAACAAAAATATTACCAGGAAAAAAAAAGTTGTCAGCATTAAATGACCCATTGAGGTTGATATGATGTAAAACAAACCAAACCAATCCAATCCAAACAAACCTAATGAAGGCCAGAGAGTACAATGTTCGAAATGTGATAACAAACAAGAAAGATGAGGAGAATATTACAAATATAATTCAAGTAAATAATGATAACTCCCAGAATTTCAAAAAGAAATCCACCTTTTGTGTTTATGTTCTCTTTTTCTATGCCTCCTTTATTTTTTAAAATTCTTCTTCATTCACTTTCCAAGATAATTTCTTTCAATCTCTTTATTTCTGGTGACTTACCAAATTCTTCCTTCTTAATCTTCTTTTGATGTTTTCCTTTTTCCTCTTAGTTTTTATTTTAGTAACACTCATTCAATCATATCTTTTCTATATTAAGCTTTACTAAAGCAAGAATAAAACGAAAACATAGTGAACATTCTGTGAGAGACTATTTTAGATGTCTTCATCTCAATAAATACAGACATTTTGATGAAATGCCAACAGAAAGAGCAAAATAGCAAAATGAAAATAAGGAGAAAACAAGAAGAATTTTTTTTAAGAATTCCTTCTTTCGAAAGAACAAACTTATGAAGAATGGTACAAAAATAGTTCTTTTAGTTGCCTTGGACTGAAAAGAAATATCATTCCTATATACAGGAAGCTAGCTGATATCAGATAACAGACTCAAACATCTTAGAACCATCAACAATGTTTATCCTTTAAGGGTCATGTTTGATTTGTATTAATATTTGATGCTGTCTAATTTTGACCATCCATGGATTCTTTTTATGCTTTGCAGTTTTTTGTTTCCTACAAAACGCTATGTCATTTCTGTCATTAGTTCTGTGGTAAATGTAGCCAAAAACACTCCCAGGAACCCTGTTACCAATTCTTTACTGCTTTGAAGACTTTATCTTCTTGTTATTCTTTGTAATATTTATGTTCTTTTGACTCCTCTTTGTTGTCTTTTTTAAGTTATAGGATTTTTTGTTATTTGTATTTTTATTCTGGCTTTTTTATGTAGTGTAATGATATAATAGAAAGGTGTTACCAATTGTAACGAGTTATTTCTTTTGCAATGATGTTCACCCTGTACAAGGCCCAAGAGCCAATCTAGTTAGAAGGATACAGAGTAAAAGGCACTAACCCAAACAAGGAGATAATGTCACCAAGTCACAAGGGTCAGCGGTAGTGAAAGAGAAGGAAAAAGTTTTAAAAGGAACCTGACACTATATCCTAAACAGGAAACAAGGGATACATGTCTAATCCTATTCAAAAGACCGAAGAAGAATGTGAATCAGCTGATAGGTA